AGATGTGTATACACAGACAGAACAGAGCAATTAAAAACATAGCTAGACAATACAGAACAGAAAAAAACACATAAAAATACATACAGAACACAGAACAAAGGTGAGAAAAAAAGAAAGCACACAAACAAGACAAAAAAATAAAATACAAAGAAAAAGACAAACAAAGGAATAAAGGAATTAACCCACCCAGAAAATAAGCCACTTGGTATTATGGATTAAAGATTGCGATAAGCTGGTTTTGAATGAACTAAGGCTCTGGTGAAAAATATCGAACTGAACTGTTCCGCTATGGTTTCGCTCGGGAGGCCTGCCATACATACCGTACTCGCGTTGAGTATTGACTCTGTTAAAGGGAACCAAAAATAGGTCATTACGACGGCCAGAGCCATGTCTATTAATCTTAAGAGGGAATAAAGAACATAAACTATAGTACCAAAAATAGAATTAACACATTTAAAAAGAAAAACCATATCAAAAATATTTCTCTAAGTGAGGGAAGTGCGTATGAAACAATATCGTCATTTTTAAAATGTGATTTAAAAAATATAAAAATTTAGACTGGACTCTCTCAATCTGATGGGCTTGTAAGAACGAAATAGAATTACAGTATAAATAACACTGGAATAATCAAAAAAAGGTCTAACTAAAGAAATGTAAAGATGCACTATACAGCTGTGGGTCAATTATGCATGGTCATGTATTATACTATGTTATCTAAGATTATTTAGTGGACATTTTAAATACTCAATACGTCCCCAATTACTGGCCAGTAAAATAAATGTTTAAAAAATGTTTCGTGTGGGAATCGAACCAACGACCTCCAGTTTATCTAGCCAGATAACAACCACTAAAAATGCTAAGTTTGCCTCAAGAAATATAGGAGTGTGGAGTGTTGTGTTATCGTACCAAATACCGTACTATTTTTGCACTTTCTGAGGGGCGCTTATTCAAACGGGGCGCTTATTTAAACGGGGCGCTTATGAAAACAGAGTGGAAATTGAGGGGGCGCTTATGGAAAGAGATGAAAATCGAGGGGTTCTTATGGAAATTTTTAAATTCAAGAGTCACTTTTTGAATGAAAAAAGATTAAATAAGGACATCACGAATGGTGGTTAGAAAAGATAATCGTCCAGAGAAAATGGCTCATTACAAGAATGCGTGAATATTTACATAACAGCAAAATAGCAGCTAGTGGTTAGCTTGTTGGCCATCGGCCGATTGAGATTAGCAGGATGGCAGGATCATTGTATTTTTTCTTGAAAACTAGATGAGAATGTGCTAAAGGTCGGAAAAAGAGAAAGAGGAGTAGGACTAGGCATAGACAAATATGTAAAAAGAGTAAAGTTGGAAATATAGTGTCTGTCCAGGGATCGGAGCTCTCATCTGTCCAAGAGAAATATCCTCATTTTGATATTGACTGAAGAAGAATGTGTTTCCACTCTACAGCTCAAATCATGCCAACAACCACAGTCCCAGGATTGATTGGATTATTGACTTGCTAAAAAGACAATCTTATGAGGGGCGCTTATTCAAACTGGGCGCTTAAGGAAATTTTCACGTTTTCGCGGTTATTCAAACGGGGCGCTTATTCGCGCGAGTACGGTATTTGCAATGCTAAAAGCGTCGACACTAATTGAGATAGCCTATCAATGGTTGGTTTTACTCATGTATCTTCATTTATGAAATAAGCGACACGGGTTTGTGTAAAGCAGGCCAACTAAAACGAATTTTTGTCATGGTTTTATTAACGGAATAGAAAACAGTGCGTTATATAGGCCTGAATTGATATTACATTAGCGAAAATTACCCAGTCGACAACACAACGCATGGGCATACCCCAGTCGTGCAGCACGGCAAAAGCCTGTCCGTGTTTTTTAACTGATGCATTGAAATTATGACGCCACAGAAGTACCGGTACGCATTCAATTTACAAAGCCAGCATTTGAAGCGGCGATTATATAGTGAGATCGATTTGTACATAGGCCTATATCTCAAAGTAAACGGACCATAATGGTGCTGATAATTGGGTTGGTGTGGAAGAAAATGACTCACATATTTATTATGAAACGTTAGACTTAATGTATAATAATACAATAAAAAATAAAAGCTGAAAAAAAAGAAGAATATTAACGATATTGTTTTATATCGTGCACTAGAAGGGGAAGTTAGGCTTTGTGAGGGGAAAATGGTTATGAAAATCAAATGGAGAGCCAAAAGATAAATTGTAGGAGTTTAATGAAAGATAGATAGATAGATTGATTGATTGATTGATTGATTGATTGATTAATTGATTAGTTGAATGGATGACTGATAATAACTAAATGAATTGAATAAATGAACGAATTAACGAACGAATGAATGAGAATGGATTGAAATTGAACGAACAATCAACGTATGAATGAAGAAAATAACAATTTATTTTAATTAGCTATCAAATTGGTTAATTGTAACATTTGATTAACCGAGGTCCGCGATCCGAGTAAGAGTAGTCCCAGTCAGTCAGGGACGTAGCCAGTATTTTGAAAGGGTGGAGGGGAAGCGTTATGGGAGTTATGTAGTACTGGTGGTGGTGGTTTCCCTCCTTCCTACGGCTAGGGGACGCCAAGGACCCCAGCGGGGTCCAGGGGGCGAATCCCCTGGGAGGCGAATCCCCATGGGAGGTATCGCACTCTGACGCAACATAGGCCTAAATAATGTTAGTAATATTACACGTATCATAAATAATAATAGTGGCGGATCCAGGAATTCGAAAGAGAGGTGACCCAGGGAGAGACTTTCACGGTCTGAGGGTCCACCCACCTCAGGCCCACCATGGTTGGGGCCCACCTCAGCCCCACCATGGTTGGGGCTGAGGTAAGAAAATTTATGATTAGGGCACCACTAGATTGCCGAAAATCGCACTCTCAGACCGGGAGTTTAATGTCATACCCAGGGAAGGACGCAGATCTGTTTTGAGGTGGTGGAGGGCATTTGGTAAGTCCACACCCACCTCAGACCCAACATAGTTGGGGCTGGGGTACAACAATTCAGAAAATAGTACCTCTAGATGAGCAGAAATGACCCTCTTAGTAAAATATATATAGGCCTAGTCAAAATATACGCTCCAACAAATTTCACATGATCTTTTATTAGGGATTTTCGGCAACCATAGATCTTAATTATTAATATTTGTGATGTAGGCCTACCATAGAAAATAAAGCTTAAAAACATTTCTTTGATGTATGTTTTTCATCTTCAACGTCGTGATTTCACAACAAATTTGAGGAAATAGTACTTCTAGATTGTCGGAAATGACACTTTTATATAGTAAAATTCATCATCATTACATCACCATTATATAGCCAAAATTAGCGCCAAAAAATTCCTCTTGGTCATTTATTTATCAGGGATTTTCGGCAACCATAGAGATCTAATTAATATCCAGGACAGCTTAGGCCAAACTATACAAAGCTTTAACTACATGATCAACCCACAACTTTCTTTTTCGACTTTAGCACAATTTGTAATATTATTAATATTTTATTATCTATTATCATAATCACATCGTTCCTTATCATCATTATTATTTTTATTAGGCCTACTAATAGTAGTAGTAGTAGTAGGCCTATTAAACAAAACACTTGCAAAGATAAAAACCAAACTGAACCATACAATGTGACATTTCTGTATCTTAAAAGACATTGCCTGGGATTTATGGATTTAAGACGAATTTAAGCTGATTTTTTTTTGTTAAATAAATCCATCCACTGAGCGGTAGCCGTTTATAAACCCGAAATTTATAATTTTTGCATTTTTATTGTGTATAGTGAAAATGTATTAATCCAACGAATAATCCACTGGGTTACTGGGTTAGCGGGTGACTTTTATTGATAGACGTTTATAGTGGCGGGTTTCTATCAGAGCACGGGTCACAAACCTATAGTAGAAGGAGTGAATTAGAATTTTAAAGCCTTTAAATCAACACCAAACTGAATCGTGTGCTGATGCATAGGCCAATACATATTTCAGAAGTATTCATTTTGAGTGATCCCAGGAAAGAATTTGTATTGGCTAGCAAAAACAAGCTTTAAAATTGTAACACTGTTTACAAAGGGGGGAGGGAGATTAGCCGTGGCCCCCCCCCCCCCCCCCCCCGCCCCCGATACGTCCCTGCAGTCAGCGCATATTGTGCGAATTGGGACATTGGCATGGCATGAAAAAAAACCATCAAAAAATTGATATCATAAATAGCGCCATCTATTCTTATTATTTACTGTTGCTAAATTGTCATTGGAAATAGACAACAATCAGGCAGACCTTGCTAGGCCTACTCGGGTTTTCGTACGTAGTTCAAACAATAATTAAACTTCACGTTAGGCTGGGCATCTCGACCGGTTTAGTCACCATGTTGCTTAGATTCTTGTATCGATCATAGCGCAAGACTTCGGATCAATTTCATTCGATAAGTATTAAATATTCATCACGCTGCTTGCTTTCAAGCTTTGCACGGCTTACCACTTTCATCTCAGTGAATTTGACAACAAACTAGTGGTAGGGTTCAACTAGCCTACCTAGAGAGGCCTATCATCTTTTTGTTGGAGTTGCTTTTGCCTAGGCCTAGGTCTGTACAATGGAGTTTAATGTGACATACGTAACATGAACTCTTGTTTTAGATGTCGTTTCTACCAAAACCTCACGAAATAGAAAGCTGAATGCTAGCCAATGGCTAGCCAACTTTGCGTTTCTTGCCAAGCTGCAGCAGCCATATCAAAAGGTCTTCAAAGTCAGAAAGCCACCTGTGCGACATGCGGGAGTGACTTAGTTGTTGGACTATCCGTCCCAGATTGCAAAAGCGCAAGAGGAGGGCAAGGTAAAGGAAGCATGCACAATTCTGGACACGAAAGTTTACATGGGCTTCCTCCCTTGCAGCTAAATGCTGGTAGAACGGTAGGTATATTATTATTGTATTGAATATACAACATTAAAAAAGTTAGAATAATTAATTATTATTATACTCTAACTTTTCTCTTTTTATGCTGGCCTATCAGGAGAATGCAGGGAGGGCGCACTCTCCCTAAGATCCCCCAATTTCCCCTATACCCATTGAAGATGTTTGAAGCAAAAAAATCACACTCAAGTAGATAAAAATCAACTTATTTTATCACAAGCTTAATCATCATTCCCCCACTTCACCTTTGTTCCCCCATCATCTCCCCGCGATTAATTAATTCAATGAGATACAGACCAAAAAAATCCAGTGTTGTTATTAACATTATTTATTTTAGAATACAAAACCAGCATTTGTTTGAATGCCAGTTATGGTCACAGAAGACCACTTTCCTCATGTGGGTGTTCATTGGTAATTTGCTAAAAAAGAAAAATGTGTTTTTACTAAGTAAAAAAAGATGTTCCTATATACCTTAAATTTATTAAAATTGAGTAAATTCAATATAATTTTATTTTTTATGTACATGTATTCAAACATTGGCTTGCCATCCAAAAAAAAACTGGCGCTAGTGACCAAAAAGAAAATTGACTTTTTAATATACTTTTATTTTATTCTCCACTTATAAACTTTAAAATGATAGGTTATTTACTGCAATGGACTTATTATTACCAAAGTTATGTCTTTTCAAAGGTAAAATTAATCTATTTATGAAAAGCATTAAATTAAAGTGACGTAGTGTGTGATGAAAATCATTAGATTTAGCTAGCACTAGTGTGTCGTCAACAAAATGAGTATAAAACTTAATAATACCTGATTCGATAAATTTAGGAACAATAGACTCTTCTAGATCAGTCATTAAAATATTGGCTAAAACTGGTCCAAGGGGTGAGCCCATTGAAAGCTAGTGCTAGACCTAAACCTAATGATTTTCATCACATCCTACGTCACTTTAATGCTATTTCATATTAACAGATTAATTTTACCTTTGAATCACTTGAACAGTGATTATGTCTTTTCTGTATGAAAGAGAAAGAACTATGTACAATGCTGCCACATTCTCATAGTAATTTACTCAGCTTAACATTTAGCGAGAGTATGCTGGTTATTTTGTAATGGCAAGCCTCATTTTGCTGCACTAATTTAAAGATAAATGATCGAGCAAAGAGGTAGAAAGTAGAGTGAAAATTTATAATTAAAATAATTCTCTGAGCACTATTTATTATATTGTAGGATTGTATTTGAGTCAAAACAGTATTTTATAGCATTTTAATCTTGTCAAAGAAGATTTGATATGATCTATTACATGCTAAGGTACATGTAGACACAAATGTTAAATTAAATGTATAATGATTATACTTTGATAAGAAAATAACTCATCTGTAATGTGCTCCTGAATTTTAGTTACTTTTGATATCTGTAATTTTACAAGAAACATTGTCGGTGATGATAATGTCAATGATGCATTTATATTTATCCCAATTCTTCTGGATTTAGCAAATACATACGGCTGTCTGTCATTATAATCATTAGCCAATTGCCTTAGCTGCCAGTAATGACACTAATCGTTCAGTAATCATTACGCTACTTTAAAAACACTTGAAGCTAAAGTAATGATAGGTAGGTTTTGCATGCGAACGTTTACGGTTAGTGTGACGTATATGTCATCATTTGTGACGTCATACGCCGGTTGCTATCCGCTAACCGTGTGGACGACACACATGTCGCTCACTACACGTATGTGCTAGGCCTAGAGCTTAAAGTAGCCAGTAATTTTTAGGTCACGAAATAACCAATTTTTGGGTCACGAAATAACCAACTCTTCTGGGCAGCAAGGGAAGGAGCATTATTCTGCTACCACTTCCAATTTCCAATACCTTTACATACCAAAACTTTAGGGTATGCCAAAATCTGATTTTGAGAAGCATGATGACAGAAGAAAACGGAATAGCCTACACTGTAGGCCCTAGGCTAGGACCAAGGCCCGACGCTTAAATTTTGCTGTCATTGCGAAAAGTACAGCATGGCTACAAACTGTTGCAGATATCTAAACGTATGCATACACGTATTCGTTCGCCTGCGAAACCTCTCTAATTGGTAGAATCAAAGTACTGTAGTCAATGTCATGGATTTTAAATTTGATATGGAAAAATTCTCTAGCAATGATATACATACTGTAATATGATACCACCATAGACAAACAGTAATATGATTTCCTTTTATCTTTTTATAATATTATCTCTGGTAACCAAAATATTCATGTTAGATTATTGATTTTTCACTGGTTGTAATGCAAATCCATGCAATTAGAAAGATGGGCAGTACCAACTGACTTATATATTACATACATAATTTTTATTATTTATTTCTTACTTATTAAACAAGCAAAAGTACAGAATAATAAATCATAAAACTACAACTAACAACGATTTCATTTTCAAAATCCTATTAAATATTCATATGTTAGACAATAATAAAAATAGTAGCAGACATTTATACCTACGCCAATTGCCAAGTAAACAAATTTTCACAGGTGCTGACAATAATCCGGACTAAAAAGTTTATGAGTATGTAGGTTGTTTAGATTTTTATTCCAACCCTTCCCTTCCACCCCCACCTAACAAAAGAAATAATATAGCCCCCAGATATGCCCCCCTGAAGAAAACATTGACCATAAACTTTATAGACCATTTAACAATTAGCCACTTTTATGATTTGATTTTCTACATAATTAACATGATATAACCTCTATCTTAACATGATGTTAACATGTTAAAATGATTTTATTTAATCTTATCAGCCTTCCCGAGAACGCGAAAAGGGGAGCAAACGGCGTTTTGGTGGTCTATCCAATATCCTAAACTCCATCAAAGGAAAGAATAGTGAAAGTAGCCGCAAGGACGGACACGGTAGCAGTGAACTTCCTCCTATTGGGCCCGGCCACAGTATGGTAACGCAGCCTGTTTGTCAACCAGTGAAACCGACAGAGCAACCCGAAGAACCCAACATTGAGAGTTTTAAGAGTTGCAAACAATTCAAGTAGGGTCCCTTATTTTATACTTTTTGTATTGATTCAGAAATTTTAACACTGTTAACAGCAATAAAAAAAAAATCCTCTTTATTCTCACTTGCCCTTTTCACCCCCTTTTTCTTTCTTGGCGTTACTTTTTTTACCTTGTTTTAAAAGCAAAATATACCTTGTTTTAAAAAGAAATTTGATTTCAAATAAAAATCTTATTTTTGGCCAGTTAGTTTACCCGCAGCCATGAATAAATGGACTTTTCAGAAAGAAATAAAAGTTTTTAATTTTTAATTTTTATTATGCCTCTGCCCTGAAATCTCTAAAAATAAGATACAGTATATATATATATATATATATATATGGACAGTTCCACCGAAAGGTCAACCTCGTCATCAAATTTTCATATTTACTGCACCTACCCAAGAGAGGTGTCATTTTGAATCTCATACTATATACTTTCTGGTACAAATAATTTTACATCAATTTTTATATAGATTATATATAATTATCGGGTTTGAAGTTAAGAGTATCAAATTTATGCATTTTACCAAAAATACATGTAAATTGACACATAACTGTATAAAACAAGTTAAACACTTCAATTAAATTGAAGAGAATGCAGAGAATATGACTTTTTCAAACATACATTTAACATTTTAAAAACTCTGAGAATGAGAATTGATTTTTTTTTTTAGTTGAATTAAAGTATGTTACAATATGAGGCTTGCTATCCCAAAAATCAATGACCAAAATATGAAAATTGACTTTTTAACATTCTTACAGTATTCTCCACATTCTGCATCATAAGCTTTAAAATGATGGGTCATTAACAGAATCGACTTTATTATTGCCAAAGTAATGAGTAAAAGTATTATGGCTTGTCTGTACTAAAGTATACAATACTGCAATATGCTATACTTAATTTAATACTGTAGATAGATAGAATGCTGGTTTTTATGATGGCATACTTCATCATAACTGTAACCAAAGTTTATTCATGACATTAAAATTTCTTGAATTAATATGCATTTAAGAAAATAGTTGACTTTTAATATTTTATGAATATCTTGACTTTTAAATAGACAAACATCATGTTGATTAATGTGTTTAGTATAGAGCCACAATTGATTTATATCACAATGAAGAAAACAATTAATGTATAGACAGACGTTTAAAAAAAGTGAGAAAAATTGCCTTTATTTGCTGGACTGCTACCTAGAATTTTAGAATTTGGCTTGTTAAAAATTTAACATTAATAATTGATGCATTCTGAATTACTTTTTATTTGTAATGATATTTTAGAAATATAAAATAAATTCACATGTAGTAGGTATACAATGTATACTACATAAGAAAAAAAAAATGAAAGTTTATAGAAATAGACCTACCTACCTTTGAAACACATGCTAATAATCAATTTCTCAGGATCACTTATTGTACAGTAGTAGTGTATGAAAAATGAATTATTTTTTGTTTGAGGTTTGTAGTCCATAGTACACATTTTGAAAAGTTTTACTGCTTTATTTCAATAAATGATGTTTGGAAGTTGATATTGGCTAATTTGTGTATGTTTTTTATGAAAAAATATAGGTGTACGTCCACAACTTTCAGACACGTACGTCGATAACCATGAGTTTGTACGTCCATAACCACAAGAAAATGAACGTAAAACCTATGTACAATCAATAAATGAGACTAGTTAAATTATATTAGGAAGCTTTAAGTCCATTGTATACACACAAATTTTTATTTATTTTTTTAGACCTCACAGAGTTTTTAAAATGTTTAATGTAAGTTCGAAAAAGTCATTTTCTCTGCGTACATCCATAACCGGCTATTTTTAGAACATTACTCATAAATTATAAAAGATAGAGTGCTGATAGTTGTTATGGTTATAGCACTAGTTGGTGTACTTGAGATGTCCATATCAAAAGTACAGTAACCGAAACCCATTGGCTTGTATTGAAGGCTTTAAGTTCTCTGAAATGTACGTCCATAACTATGGAACTGCCCATATATATATATCTTCCTAATTATATAATTTTAAAGCATTTAACCATCCTATACATTCACCAATAAAAAAATTTTTTTTTCCTCTGTCTGGTTGTTTTTGGCAAAATTATTTTCTAAATAATTTCGCCCTCCTCTGACGAAAATATTGTCACAAAACAAGGTATAAAAAAAATCTCACCCTTCCTGTCTGACTCCATTCCATCCTGTCTCTTGTCATATTTTCTTTACCACACATTCTTATGTTTTTTTTTCTCCCTTACTTTTTCATGCCTCTATCTTTAACTGATAGTTTTGCAGCTATGGTAATGGTAAATCTGCTGACAGTGAAGGTGGTGGATGCTAAATTTATGATTGATATTGATGATGATGGTCATAGTAGTGATAATTAAAGCCCCATTCCCAGCAAAATTCCATTAAAAACAGAATTTTTGTTAGAAAAAATGCATGCATTACTCTAATTATTATAAACCATGGAAAAATATTGGCATAAATTTTAGTTTTATCATCATCATCACCATCATCACACCCACTGCTGTGTGAAGCCCTCCTCTAACATTTTCCATCTTCTTCTGTCTGATGCTATTCTTGCCCAGTTTGCAATTTCCATATTTTTGGTGATGTCATCGCTCCACAGGCCCGTAGCCAGCATGCTTCAAGGGGGGGTTCTGAGCGTGGGGTCCTGAGCGTGGGGTCCAGGTGCCTGCCAAAGCGGGGTCAAGGGGGAAAAGCCCCTGTGGGGGCTGGGGACGAAGCCCCCGAAGCCAGAGCATTTATACGATTTTAAAAGCATGTACATGTCATTTAAATGCATGTTCATGTATATTTAAATACTTCTTACACAATTTTAAAAATAAGATAAGAAGACTACTTTTTCTAATACAGGATTTAGAACATAAATGTTTATTGTGAAACAAACTTTTTTTTTTCTTTTTTTTTATTAAAAAGCAATGCTTGACTGTACTAAACACAGACCTTGCACATTATAAGATCGCTAAATACCAATATATTAAAATATGGAGGTATGTAAGAGAAATATTGCAAATAATATCTTATTTATTGCAGAAATGAAGAAACTTAAATGTTAAGTTTGAATGAATATAAGGACAAGAATGCAAGGAAGAGATGTCTATTGTTTGAATTTGCACAATAAATAGGAGGGCGGAGTTGTTCATTTCAGCTTTTTAAATAAACTTTTGTGATGACGTCGTGCCAAAGTAAATAAACTCCGGAGCACGCAATTGGTCAAATAGCCTAGGCAACAAACCTCTCATTAATATTCATTTTGAAGTCTTGCTGGTTACGTCATTCAGCTGGCTGCAGCTTAGTTTTGATTTCTACGATCAGACTACGATCGATAGCGACAAATAAACAGTGCCAAAAATGCTCCCATTTTGTAATAAATTGCACTATTTTGGAAACAGGGGATCGTTTTCTGGCTAAGGGGGTTCGCTGGCAAAAGGGGGGTTCGCTGAAAAAGGGGGGTTCGCGCGAACCCCTAAAAACCCGCCTGGCTACGGGCCTGCTCCATCTTCTTTTTCTGTCGTCGTCTTTAGTTTTATGCAAAAGGAAAAAAAAAAAAATGAGAATTAGAGACTATTTCTCATAGAAGATTACCATTTTCTCGACAACTTGTTCGTTACTAGGCAAATTCAGAGGTTGTAGATCGTATCTGCTGGAATACTCTCGCTTTTATATATACTTTATACAGTCATTAAAGTGCGCCCTCTTTAATGAAATTTGTTTTTGTACTTCGCATTTCGCACACTGGTCGATCGAGTAGGCCTGGAATATGTTTGTTTAATTGTCAAAATCCTGGTCAGAATAATTTGAAATAATTCCAATTTTCCAAATTTGAAATAATTCCAATGAAAAATTACATAGCACAAGTGTCAATACTAGCAACGTAAAATATCATGTCGATGTAAGGCTAGGCCTAGCCTAGCACTGTTGATAGGCTAATGTTTCCGCCGCCTACTATATTTCTTCGCAGACCTACCCCAAATTCCAACATAAAAAGTTCATCCCCCGCTTTTTTTTTTTTGGAAAACAAAAAAATCAAATTTCAGTCTTAATTTATGTTTTTATCATGTTTATGAATGTCTAAATTCAGTTAAACTAGCAATTTTGTATTATATTTATACATTTTTATAACATATATAAAAATCAGGTTTTTCTCAACAACTGAAATTTTTCCGGGAATGGGGCTTTAATGATAATATGACAGCGAAAATAATTACTATTGTTAGTGATGTTAATTTCAAATAGAGTTTAGTTTTGAAAATAAAAATTAAGGTAATTAACTAATATATATTTAATATTACAATTTTTGTCTCGCTTTTTTTCAGGGATGATCTTCAAAAATCCAAGTTATCGGGTGACTACAAAGAAATGCAACAATTTTTTGAAACTACGTTTAGTTCTTTTCAAAATATCAACTGTACATTTAAGGTAATATCTGCATAAATTACCTGTAGTATAACATGTTCTGAAATCTACTAACACAAGTTTTCGAAACATTTGTTTTTCTCTAATTTAATTGAAGGAGTTTTTTTGTTCTGACTGTTTTTGTTTTCTTTTTTGTTCAGAGTTATTTTCTCCAGATCTTTATCAAACTTGATCCAAGCAAAGCCTATCATAGCTAAGATGTTCTCAGTAAAATATGCAATGCTAAATATCATTTTTATATTGATAGACTATTAATGAAATATTTATTTAAAAAGTTTACATTGTTTTCAAACTAGTTACAGTTAGTTTGCAAATACAAACTTGCTGTGAAAAGCATCATCAATCTATGCACTGTTTTATCCTGACAAGGTTCGAATAAAATTGAATTTTTCAAAAAATTCCATATTAAAAAATATTAAACTTAACCATTATCTGTATTCTTTTACGCTCGTATTTTGTTGTCGTGTTTCAGCGGGATCCCTTGAAAGATTACAAGACGCCGGAGGATTCTGGGATACACCAAGACTATGTGAAGGTAGTTTATGATTGCCTGTTGAAATTACCATCCGAACTGCAGAAAACATCACTCAAGGCCATCATTAACAGTTTACTTAAGGAAATGAAAAAGTATGTTTTTCTTAAATCAATATTTTGAATATTAAAAGCACAACAAATATGCAGACTGTCTGCTCTGTTTGATATTAGTTTCTTAGTAACATCACAACATTTCGATTTTTGCATTTTATGTTTTCTTTTTAATCTAATATATATGTTTTTCACTCTACAGAATAAAAAAATGTTATAATCTTTTTTTTTTGTATAATTTTATACTGTAATTTTTAACAGTTTATTTTGTCTATATTTTTTTATTTACTTATTAGTACCTATAATCAAAGGTACTGTAGTCAAAACCTTTTTTACAACATCTAGTTTCATATTTTCTAATTGATATAGTATATATATCTTATCTTTCAGGCCCAGAGATAAAAATGATTTAAGAGCATATCTAATTCTATTACAGGTAATAAAGCACTCTTTTGTATTAAAAATAGCTGAAAAAAATAAGATGCATTCAAAACAGTAGAGTAGATATTTAAAAACCTAGATGAACGAAAAATGGAACATGGTATTTTATATTAAACTATCATTATGTCTTTTATCTGTCATATTTTGACTTCTTGTGGAGCAGTGCCATTAGCGTTTTCCCTTAAAACGGATACCGCGCTTTATAAGTTTTCATTATTATTAATATACGAAAAATGGGAAATGTTATTCCATATAATGATAGGTGATTAAGTAACTAGATACTATGTTTGAAAATAATAGTTTACTATTAAAATGAAACCTATATGTTTTTTGTTGTCTCTTATCACAACAATTAGAATATTGTGGGTAGCCAATGAGTAATTACTCTGTCAGCATTATTTCCAGTAGGTAGAGACTTCATTCTTCATAACTAATAACACAGATAAACCAAACTATTTTGTTCAAATTTATTCCTCGAATAATGTTTGCAGCATCCTACGTCACATTGTCTCGGCGTGGACAAACAATTTTTAATGACTTTCAATTTTGCTATTGTGAATGTTATAGCGTATTCTTTATTCAACACCTTCTTGCATAACATCTATAATGCACACACAAATAGAGTTATAGATGATGATCTACATTGCCATGGTCACCATTGATTTGCTTTCTTCGTTTTGTATAGAAATTGATTCACATCAATAGTTCTAAATAAAGTTAAAATTAAGTCTGTGCATGATAAGCCAGCCAATTAAAGTTTATGTGATTCAGGCTTTGCATAATGTTTGCTTGATCGATATATTATTTAGTAATACTTTTCATATTAGGTTTTATTTTTTAACTTTATTCGTCCTTTTCTGACCAGCCTGGGGGGAGTCGATTAAATATGATTTGGAACGTTTGCAATACTAGCCATCTTCATTATTGTTATTGCTGTTTTTGTACATATTTTAGTGTATCCTAAGATATAAATAAATAAAATTAAATACTGAAATGAGCATGGTCTGTACTGTAATAATAATAATGACATCTTGTAAAGCGTACATATCCATACCAGTGAGCTGCTCGCGGCGCTATTTCCACGTTCAAGGAGCAGCAGCCTTTTCTATATCTTCCTAAATTTTATTAAATTTATTTTTGTTTATGTGATTCAGACATTGCATGATGGTTGCATGATCGATATATATTATTTAGTAATTCTTTTCATAATGGGTTTTTGTATTTTATGCATCTTTTTTAACCAGCCCGGGGTAGTTGATTAAGTATGATTCGGGAAATTCGCAATACTAACCATCTTCTTTTAAATTCTTTTTTATACATATTTTAGAAGAGACAGTTTCGAATTTGAGTATACTATCATTATCACCATCATTATTACTATTATGTTATCACCATATTTTTGCTAACAAAGATTAGATAATGAGAATATTATATTAAATTATTATTATTGATACTTGGTTTTGTTTTGGCCCCAAAACTGTTGCAGTATTATGTTGCACCTGGGTCCTCTTTTCTTTTTATTATATTCCTTGTTGCCAAGATCGTTCGCTGTCTTATATATTTACATACATGATATGCTATTCTACAGTATCTCTCATTTAATCACTTCCAAAAAGTCAAAGATTTATTTCTGAAACTTAATCCTGGCTCTGTTGAAACATGCTTAGGTTTAATTCATTAAATACTAAAGTTTAAATTTTTCATCTTCAGTTATGACCCACATTTTTTTCATCATAATTATCATTCTCATCACTATCATTAAAATTGATTTTTAAATTTGAAGTAGTATTATGTGTTAATTGAAATTGTCAAGAAGACTGCGAGGCGCCACTTGGCAACATCATCTTATTCTTTTCTATTTTTAATCTGGGATTGTGATTGGTCTTCGTCTTCAATTACAGAATACACAATTTAAAAGCTTGTCTACGTACGTGATATTTGCGCATCTCCTACGCCAAACCGCAAACTTGTGTGATCAGGATCATCATTTTTTGGTCCATTGGCTCAAGAGGTAATTAGGAGGAAATTAACTTTTTTAATATAATACTTTGTTATATGAGGCATGTCGTGGCGAAATGGTTAAGTTGTCGCACAGGCCAGTATTGAGGAAATGAGCTATAAAATATGGGAGCTCAAAAAATTGCCAAAAAATCCAAATTTGTTTTTCACTATAGATCAACAGTTTAATGTCTTATTAATCATGTCCCAAAGTATTAGTTCTGGAAGTGGTAAACAAATCGTTTATTTGACATTATTTAGATAGTTAATTCTATTAAACAATGTATGCACAAATAACTTTGGAAGGCAATTACTCAAAATCATGTTTATCTTGACTCTAAGAGTGCTGTACTTTCACATTCCAATAACTTGGGCTTTAAATGTCCAATTTCATTGAATGACCCCTCATTTTAAAGATCACATACTCTGGTATCTGAAAATACCAATAACTTGAATTTCAATTTTTTCTACAACTTAGCCATTTTGCCACAACATGCCTCATATGGGGCTTGCCATGCTAAAGCCAACATCAGTGACCTAAACAAGAAAAGTGAACTCTTAATGTATTCATATTCTCCACATTAGAAGCTTTGAAATGATGGGTCATTTACTGCAATTGTCTTATTGTTGCCGAAGTTATGATGAGTTAAAATATTACAGTGTCTCTGTACAAAAGTATACAATACTGCCGCCTTCTTATGCTAATTACTCTGTTTAACGTTTAGGCCTAAAAAAAAATGTTTTGTTGGCGTAACGCGACCTACCCTAAAAAATCGGCTGACCCTAGACATTTTTATTTAACCTTCCTACCCTATTTTTTGGGGCATGTTACGCCAACATAACATTTTTTTGCTTTAGGCCTTACTGACAGTACGCTGGTTTTGCCATGGCAAGCCTCATATGTTACTTAGATTATGAGACCTAGATTTATGCCACCTGGTTTGTGCTACTAGTATCTGCCACCTGTATAATTATGCCACCTGGTTTTTGCAGATTGGGTTGTGCTGGCCAGGTTGTGCTATTAACCTGTAATTTCCAATTTAACATGCGTGGAGTTTATATGCCTCCTGGATTAACACCCTAAGGTTGTGGTCCCTAGGCTATGCCACCTGTGCTTGCCAATGGACCTTTCCGCTAAGCCCCGCCCATTGGATATTGTTGCTAAAGTCCCACAAGGTGACAATGTTAAAACATACGCGAACACATGCGTTTGTGGGACAACACGTGTGTTTGTGAGACGCGCGCGTATTCCTAGCGTTGTTCTGATTAGTCAGTTGTTAAGTTTGATTGACACTCCGGAAAGGTCTATTGCATTAGGCCACCTTGGTTTATACCATTTGGGTTATACCATTAACTGCATTATACCACCTTAATTTATACCATGGGTTATACCATCTGTGTTTCTTAAAATGCATTAATGTGATCAGGTTTATACAATTTGGTTTATGCAACCTGGGTTGTTGTACCCTGCTATGATACCTGGGTTATGCCATTGGGGTAGACCATGCTACTACAATTTACGTTATTCTACTTGTGTTTGTCAATTTGCATTATGCCACCTGTGTTATACCACTTTGATTGTGCAACCCGGGATATGCTACCTGGTTTGTCACATGTAGGTAACACTTGTCATGTAGCATACCTATGTCTGCCAATTCTGTATTAATGCGTTATTCCACCAGCTATGTTTAGCAGTATGTTAAGGCTCCTGTGTTATACAAGTTATATTATGCTACATGGGTTTTGTTACCACCTACGTTTTTTTTACTTGGTTGCGTCACCACATTTTTTTGCCACCTGTGTTTTGCTACAACATATGTCACTAGTAATTATCATTTTCATCATTTAATCAGACTGCCAACCTCTTCCTTTGCTGGAATCGTCTCAAGAATCATCCAGTTTGTCTCCACCAGGATTTTACCACAGGAACCTTGTGATCTTCCACCTCTAGCCAAGTGTTCCTGGTGGATACCATCGGCTACTAAAGTGTTGGCTTTACTTAGTAAGTTACTTTTTAATTTGCAGTTAATTATTGGTGCGTTATTATATGGTACATTTCGGTTGTTTTTTTTCAGACTTCATTCCAAAAGAAAAATGTATGAAAGGATTTGGGGGAGGGTTAAAATTTACTGCTTCCTGTGTTGGAGAGTAGAGCTGATTCACACCTGGCTAACCATATTTTACTAATATACAGTATAAAAAGAATTATGCTGGTGTGTCTGTTACTAATGTAACCTAATATTATTGACACTCTTTTGTCTGTATCACAACAGACGCCGCCAACGCACTTTCTTCTCCAAACAAGGTAGCGTACACAAAATTTTACATCGAGACGCTTGATCAAATTGACTTGATGAAGGAATATTATGCTTGGCAAAATCCATCTAATTACCACTCGTGAGTAACAATTCTTCATTCTTGTTTACCTGATGTTCTGTCGGGACTTGATTAACATGGTGACGTGGGTAGAAGCCCACTTATTGGTTTTCATTATTGATTTATTGTGTTATTATTTATTATTTTAGAATTTAATCAATAACCAGTTCGGTCAAAATTGTTCAATGCTAACTGTTGATCTTGGTTTTTAAATATATTAAAAAAACCTTTTCAGACACAATTCTATTAGATGATTAAAATGATTTCTTTAATTCATAAGTAGTGACATATATAAAAACCATGAAAACCATTAATGAAATAAATGAAAAAAAAAAAAAATTATGGCACATATATGGGTCAAGCCATGCCAAAACCAGCATTGTGACAAAAAGATGAAAATTGACTTTTTAATATATTTATGTTTTCCACACTAAGTTTTAGAGTGATGGGTCATTTTCTGAAATGACTTTACTATTACTAAAGTATACAATATTGCCACATTCTTAAATGCTAATTACTGGTTTTGCGATGACAAGCTTCATACCCTTTGGTGAAAGAAATTTCAATCGTGCTGCTCCCACACTATGGAACAATCTTCCGGCTATCACTGTGTTTTAAGGACAAACTTAGAACTTATTTATTCCGCAAAGCTTTTCGTTGTCTTATTACTGAAGTGAATACTAGTTAACCATTAACGATTTATAGCCAACTTAATTATATTGGGGACATTTACAGTAGTAATTTGATCCGTGATTCTTGTAAATAATTTTAATTTTATATTTCTGAATTGAATATTTGTACATTTTGAGATGTTTGTTTATTGCAATTTGAATAATCAGTGTGTTATTGAATTTAAATATTTAAATTTTAATTAATTGTAAATAATAATCTTGTTAGGTTATCATTAATAGTGAATTCACAATTTTTAATTAATTTCAGTGATGTTAATTGTAATAATTATTTTTGTATATATATTTCCATTTAATTGATTGTCTTTCCATATTGTAGATATTGAATTTAAATTTTAAATTGATCTGTATTATATTGTAATAATTTGAAATTATTGTATATTATAGTTTGTTATAATTTTTTGACTGAATTTTCATATTTTTAAATATTTTAATAAAGTAATTAATAATTAGAATATTTTTGTAATTTCCTTGTATAATGTTGTGTTATATTGTATTTTGTCTTTGTATGTACAGTAAAACGCATTGAACAGAGATCTGAAAATATACTATATAAATAATGATAATTATTATAATTATTATTATTATTATTATTATTATGGTCAATGTCACAATTATAGTTTTATTTAAGAATAATTATTAAATATAGCTATACAAAAACAAAGTGTTTGTGAAAATATTATGTTAGATTCACTTTGTACCTTTCCATTTAAATACCTATATATATATAGTATTTGATTTTACGTTTGGTTACTGTTTCTTATGAAATGACGTGATTTCCTTCAACATACCTAATTAAGTGAATAATTATTTTTAGATTCAGTTTGTGTCAGTATCCATTTATGCTAAGTCTTCAAGCGAAAAGAACTATTCTAAAGAAGGATTCAGAACAGCAGATGATAATGGTGGCAAGGGTAAGTTGTGGAATCATCGGAGAAACTGTCAACCACAGGAATATATCCCCAGTTTTTTTCTGTAAACATATTCATTTTATTTGCAAATGGTAGCACGTACCTCTTTTCCCCTTTCTCCACCTTTCTCCACCTTTCTCCATCTTCTTTTTTATGTGGCAAAAGGCATTCCTACAGTTTATTTCTGTCTTTTTCTATGAAGAAATAAGACTCGGACACATTTGTTCGACAGCTGTATTACTAAATCTAAATTTTCATCATGTTAAGTGACTTTTTATGAGGTACTGTAATTTGGGTCATTCTATTTTCTTCAATTCACTTTTATTCGGATATCATACGCGGTAGCCAAGTATCTGAATTGCGTGACATTTACAGAGTTGAAATAATAAAATATAAACATGACAATCCATTACTACTAGTTTGTTGTAGTAGAATTTATTGAGGTTTCATAGAGGCATGAAATGAAAATCTATATATTTTAATAGCATTAATAAAATGCATATGTATATCTACATTGTAAAAATGTTATATCCATCAATGTATTATTTCCAAGATTTTTTTGTTATTGAAAATATCAAATATAAATCAACAGAACATCAAATACAAATTCATAAAAGTTATAAATATTCGGATCATACATACAACTTTGAATAAATTTGAATAACCTATACGGAGCAACACCCTCCTGGAGATGTACTCGAAAGCTGTCTATATTGTAATTTTTTATGATTGATTTTAACTTCCAAATTACTAATAATAGCCTTGTATCCTTTATTGTAAAAATGTTTATAAATTCCTTTTAATTCTTTTACTAGTAATAGTATTATTGTTGTTGCTGATATTATTTTTATTATTATTAGCAGTATATTATTACCATTATTTTTGTTATTGCTATTATTATTATTAACGTATTGCTGTTTTCATTATGTAATACGCATTTAATTTGATTTCATTTTCCTATTAGCGGACTCTGGTGCAGAAGGTTCAGCAACATCAGATGCCAGACATGAACATGCTATTCTTGAATCTCAAAGTTCGAAGGTCACATCTAGTGTCAGACTCACTTCATGAGGTAACGTCGGTTTGATAGTAGTCTGGCATATTTTGTGAAATCAATATTTTGCCTCCTAGTGAAGACAATTTTATGTTTGTTTTTAGCAACAACAAATGTGTATATTTATATACCAGTATTTATTTCTGTGTTATTGCTGCGAAGCAGCCAATTCATATTCTTGACAGCAATTTGACCTGAAAGGTCATTGTTTGTCAAAAAACAAGGGCCTAAGACGACTGAAAAGCGGAGTTTCCTTCTTTCGTTCTGCCGGGTAAAATCAATTACTCTAGGCGACGTTTATTGACTAACCAACATGTACCAACGTCCGCATGTCGCGCTAGCCTTATCCTACTCTAGGCCTAGACTAGCTAGGATGGTATAGGCCTAGCCTTGAAGGGACGAAAGTCCCAATGAAGAACAACGTCGCTCCTTGATAGCTAACATTGTCTATTTAACATCACAATAATTCATTATTAGACCTATAGTTGTTTTTTGAATTGTACTCCACAAATCTCAGCCGATACCTCGCACAACTCGAGTAACGTCTCGTATCTATTGTTGTGACGTCATGGCTCGCTGGATTACACTTGCGATGTCTCACACTTGTGATCAAATAACACGCTGGCTCGCACTTTGGCAACACTCTTTGGCAGTCAACTCTACCCTAGAAAACCCGCCCTTGGAAACTTGCCCCATAAAAAAATGTACACTTCCTAGACCATGCAGTCTTCAAAATAAAAATTGTAACCTTTGGTAATCAACTACATTTTCCACATACATAGGAATTTTTGAAACTATTAAACAAAACCTAAACCATAATTCACCACTATAGACACTTTTTGACAAAAATGAAAAATTACGACTTTGTTACCCAATGAGAAGTGTTCTAATATAGACAATGGGTCGTGTCTCATATTATTTGTTATATTTTTATTATTCATTATTTTCACTTGACTCGCATAAATAATTTTGTTCAAAGAACATTTATATGCAGTTGTACTTCGCAGCACCACTTGCAATTTGCAATTTCTAGTATATTGATATATTTTGTACTAGATTGCTACTAAGAAACAGGACCTGAAGAAAAAGCTGCGGGTAATGTTCGTTGGTGAACCAGGCTTGGATTTGGGCGGTTTAACTAAGGAATGGTTCCTTCTACTCCTCAGAAAAGTGTTCAGAGAAGAATATGGTAAATATTTAATAAGCCATATATTTTGAAATATCATTTGTTAATTTGTTGTAGTTTGATATGAAGTGCACATTCAGATTTGGAGCTGTAGAAAACTAAGGGTGAGTGGTAGACATATTAAGGGTGGGTGGGTGTTAACATTGGTGTTAACTCTAAATAATAAGAGTGAATTTTAAGGATAGGCGAGGGGGGCTAATATTGGTGGGTGGAGGGCCATGAAATTAGTTTTAGACTGGCTGGAAAATTTCAAGGCTTGTGGTCCCACCCACCATAACTACATCTCTGACATTCAAAATGTTTTTTTTGTTTTTACATCCAACAAAATGTGATGCTACTATGATATATGTGTTGTTAATGTAAAATCTTGAAAACTGGAGAAGTAAATTAACATTTATGGTGTAGAAAGTGTTTTCCTGAAATGTTGATAGCTGGAGAGATTTATGAAATAGTGATACCATTAAAATATGCAGAAGTTGTAATGCATTACATACAATCCACTCTGAGATGCCTCGATCTTTTGACATTGTAGAATAATTTAATTGCTTTAACGATTTATTAGTTTGGGAGCAAGAACTAATCATCCAGATCTGTGAGAATGTATTAAGCGGGAGACTGTGCCTTTGCATATTACTTTGCGTAACATCATCATATTTGTACTTTTAGTATCGGTACAAATTGTAAGCTGCACTTTCTACATTCATAAAAAATTGAGCATCAGAACTAATCAATCCATAACCTATTTGATTACTGCAATAATTGGATCATTCTTTGATAATACCAAGTAATGCATTGTTTCTAACATTAATTTTGAAGAAAGTAGAAGTTTGCTAATTTGTTTTTCTACGTATATTATGTGTGTTGCTAATTGAGATATTGTGATATCGAATTCACGAGGCAAAATGCTACAACAGGACACATGATGAACGTTAAGCCCCGGACACTCACTGCGTTGTGGGACGTACGACAGTCGTACTGTACAGCGAATCCAACTCCACTACCTGTTAACGCTAGATAACATGACGCTGTCTGGTTATTTTTGGTGTCAGTCTGAACAGATAGTCATTAAACACGATCCATTGCTCACGTGTCGTGGTGTTGTGTTCTCCATACAATCCCGTCAGCCGGCGACCTTCGTGCACAGTAGGTGCTTGGCTTTACACATTCTTCCCAAGATATTCCTACTGATATTACCATTGTCTTCAGTATATTATAACCTCGTTGAAGGTCTGTGCTATTAGTATGCTGCCAGTAAAAATATGCACAACATGATTGCAAGTTCACCCTGTGAGCATGTTAGTTTTAAAGGCCTCTGCGATGCATATTTTTCCCTACGAGGATATTATGTATGGATGCCCATTCACCTTACATGACACATTTCATTGAAACGATGTAGCGGGGGACAATTGCTCTTTTTTTTTCAAGGTCATGCATCACATGTAACATTTTGTCTTGTGTGAAATGGGTTTTTTTCATGACTAGTTTTCCCTTTTGGAAATTAATAATCAATTCTCTATTGTCATACCTTTCTGCTGTTTCTCTTTTATAGGTATGTTCCTTTATGATAAGAAGTGTCACTCATTCTGGTTCAACCCCGCTTGTGTAGACTGTAATCAGGAGTATAACTTAGTTGGTGTGGTATCCTTTTTATTACGATAATAATAATAATAATAATCACCAAGGCGGTTCATTGAAGGCCAATTTTCACTGTACATTGTAACAAGATACATTAACATTAAAACAAAATCAATTATAATCAATAACGTCATCTTCACTAAACAGGACAACTTAAAACTACGTGACAGAGCGCATCAAAATTATAATAGTATCTACGGTATATTTTTTTTTACTGCGGCCTTGTGTAATTATCATGGAAAGTGGAAATCAACACGTACGCCCTGGAGCTGCAAGTTTAGGGTCAAGAAGCTGCTGCTTTAGATGTATATATTTATATCTAAATACCTGTAATCTATATATATTAAAAATATATAAAGGGTTACACACAAAAAGCTCTCATCTTTATTTTTTCAATAAATTTTGAGGCAAATCTACTAACACCTACGTGTTTTATTTTACATATACAATTTGCCTATGCAGCAACTCTGATTTTCCTGTCCTGTTATATATATTATATTATTATTATTATTATTATTGTTATGTATATATATATATGTGTATATGTATATATATTAGCAAATGGATATATAATAATAATTGTGTTCTATTTTGTATATATATATGGCAAAATACTGAAAAACTACAATTTAATATGGCAAAATACTGAAAAACTGCAATGTAATATATCTTCAGATGCTTAATTTGAACAACACAAACTAGTCAACCAGGTCAGGTTATGTGTATGTTCCTCACCACTGATTGTACTATCCTACATTTAGTAATTACATTTTAACTAAGTATAACCTTTATCTTTCTGGGTTTTTTTTCCTCTTCCCTCCAGACAGGCACTGTCTAAGTTTCATTGATTGACGGCAAAGCCATGTCACTGCGACAGTTCATTCCCATAGGAGGCATGTAAACATTGAAAGCTAAGCCTGAAACTTGTCAATTTACAGTTCTGTTAGTTGATTAATGCTTTCAGGATGAGTATATTAGGCCCAGGAGAGTGATAAATATAAATTCCAGATCTGTAAAGTGTGTAATTGAAATATGTATTTCAAAAGCAGAAAGAAATATCAAACCATTAATTTCTGGTTGTGATATTTTGTAGTAACTATCCAAATGTTAATGACAGTTTTAAAAAACAGATATCGTTTGTCATATAATTTTATTTCTCTATGTTTAGACTTCATTTTAATAGATATACTTTTAGACAGAACTGTTAGACAAACAATAATTCATGTTATGAGCTTTACAAATAATCAAACAAAATATTATTTATATTAAAAAAATCACCATGTGTAAGTAATATGGTTTTTGTGGTAAAACCAGTGGTTGGTTGTCTCGATGTTTCGGTGAGATTGCACTGACTGTCATCTGGAGAATGATAAAAGATGATTTCTGTTGGTCTTAAATAGAGATTGTAATCATTACCTATATTATTGTTATATATTGATGCTATACCACGTAAATAGTTCTGAAAAGAACTGCTGTTGTTGGTTGAGAATTCAGAACTATCTATGTGGTGTACTGCAAGCATTAATATATATTATTACTTCATGAAAACCTTCAAATAATATATTGTTGTTGTTATCATTATTGTATGATAATAATATTATAAGTGTATAAAGATACAATTCACACATATAGGAATACTATATAAATTTTTATTCATCATATTTTATCAGTACTTTCATCCTTTATTTTTTAATGCTTTGATAATTTCTACCTGAATTACTGTAATGTACCTTTATTATAAACTCCTCAATTATTGTAGTGTCCTTGTTTACCATCTCTCATAACACTACCAGTCATGATTAACTCCTTCATTGATTTTTCTTAAGTTAAAACCTTTTATCTGTTACATAATAGTAATAATAATGATCTTCTATGTGTTAGAATAATACTTCAACTAAGAGCATGACTAACTAACTGGTTCCCAATACATTATCACTTCCAATTTGAGGCAATTAGAGTGATTTTACTGATTGCATACAAAATCAGTATCAAACCAATATCTTTGAATCACCTATAGAGGGGGTGATTCCCTGTCTTTTAAATATGAAGACTATAAACATGAGTCATTTTCATATTAATGCTGGGATGCACTGTATACAGTATTGTATTTTATACATCATATTGCTTAAAGGAAAATTTGTAAATCTTTTCCGTAGAAATGTATAAAATATATTTTTATACATTTGTATTTGTATGGTAAAGTAACAATCGATAATTCAATTTCAATTTCACTTCAATTCAATTCAATTTTTTCAATTTTTCAATTCAATATAAAGTTTATTTCCACACCATCAATGCAAAAAAAAACATAGATGGAGAAATACATAAGGGTAAAAAAACAATAATTGATAAGAATGTAAGCCCAACAGAACATTTGAATGAAGCGGAAAATGGGTCGCCACAACAAGCAAGTTTTATAACGGGCGCCCATTGATTATGAAATAAAATTAACAATTATCACCAAAAAAAAAAAAAAAAATTTTTATAAATAAAGTAACAATAGTCATTGAAAATTCTGAAGAAAAGTTAAATATGATTACATACAGCACAATTATTTATACAAAGGTTTGCATTACACTTATAGTTTTCATGGTAATGGTTATTTAATTGCTTCTATTACAGCATGTATATGTTTGAAATGTTTTATATTACTTTGAAGGCCTTATTTTGTACAACCAGGATATCTAAAAAATGCAAGACCGGTATTTTTATAATTGCTTTTCATTTAGCTTTCAAAATATATTCCTAAAAGCAGGTGAACTTATCACTCAAGAAAATATATTTATTGAAATAATCCTAATTATTTTGTACATATTTCCCAAAGGCCTGTTCTAAAGTACAGTATTGAAGATTTATTAATTTTTATAATAGCAGAATTTAGATGTAGTAAGTACTAAACAGACATTAATTATAAAAGATACATTTATTATAAATTGTGTAGATTTTAATATATAAAAAATACATATCATTCATATAATATGTTAGTAAACAAAAATATCATGCTGCATTTTTCTCTGTTAGCAGAAGTGGTCCATACCGAATTTTGACAAAAACTCGGGTAATACATTTTGCTGGTATGTTGAGGATCTTTGGGTTCTTAAATTTATTTATTGCCACTGAAGCACATTCCGATGGCTAAAATATCACCAGCCAGCCATTTTTTAGGATTCACTTGTTAACTCCCAATGGACATTCTTAGAACCAATTAAGCTGCTGACAGGTCCCTCTGGACCATCGGACAGTTCACTCTCAACCATCTGACAGCTCACTAAGGACCATTTCTGCTAACAGGAACTTTTGCCTCCTGTGTTTAGAAGTAATAGCGTAATGGAGAGGCCTGAGACCCACTGGCTAAGACTATTTGGGCCTCCTTCAACCCTGGGCTGCACAAGGCTACAGTTCAGCTGTTTTGGGGCCCATGGTCATGGAAAAAATATGCGATTATATCACAGAGGACCTTAAGGTCCAGGTCCCCTTAGCTTAAGCCAATGAGAGCTCTTAGTTGTTACATCACTTTTTACAAGCCTAAATCAGTAGCGGATTCAGGAATTCAAAATAGAGGGGTGGGACTTTCACAAATAGAAGAAAAGTTATGATTATAGGACCTCTAGATTGCGGGAGATGGCACTACCAGACTGACATTTTAATATAATTTTCTTTTTTTCTCCAATTTTTTATAATTTTACAAAATTTAGTATGGGAAGACATGCCGACTGGGCCCCTTGAATCCACCACTGTAAATGTCACGTTTTAATAGAAAGATAGTTTTCAATAGAAATACATGTCATTTATAATTATGAAATTATTTGTAATGCATTTTTTCTAAGTTGGCCTCAATTGTTGAATTGAAAATTACCCTTAACATGATATGTATTAGCTGATGGGGTTAGCTGTGTACAATAGCACCATCCTAGATATAAGGTTTCCACAGTGCACTTATAAGAAGTTGCTTAGTCCTGCTGTCGTGCCATTCAACAACCCCCGAGCAGAGGTCGGCAAATGCCCTTTGAACTTTGAGGATTTCAAACTTGTGAAACCGGTACGTACTTGGAGAAATGTTGAATATTTATTAATATTAAAATAATATATAAATATCTTACGATCAAATTTTTAATTAAATAATGTATTTTACAATATTTTTACCACTTTTAGTTTTATTTTTTTATTTTATTATATTTCTTATTGCTCTTATAATTTTATTTTAATTCTGGTATTACTAGGATGATTACAATTTGTATGATTATTTTTAAGATTCATTTGTATTCTTATTATTTTGTTATAGTTTTGTTGTTTCTCTTCAAACTGACCAAATATTTTTATTTATTAATACCTTAAATTTTAGGTTTTTCTTCTCGTAGTATATAAATTGCAATAAATTAATCAAGATCTATTATATATAATCTATATTCTTTTGATTTTTCTTTTTAGGATTTGGCGAATGGACTGAAAGAACTCTTAGAATACGAGGGTAACGTCGAAGATGACCTCTGCATGACATTTCAGGTAAATTGACGCATCTTTCTAATAATCTAAAAAAAATTTTACGCAAATCGATATCAATTTAAAGCAATCAGAGCTTGGTGACTAAGCCACTCAATTTTTTCAGCTTTCAAATTCAATAATCAAAGCTATATAATGGAAGGCCATAGTAATTACACTATTGATCCTAGTATCACTAAGTTTGTAAGTCTTGTTCAAGTGTCAGTTGTGTCAGATACTTATAATGGATGGCATATATGGTTTTTATTTACAAAAATTTCTAAAAAATGTTAAATTCTCAATCTAAAATCAAAGAGGGTTATTGTAATTAGACCTAGAATTATGAGTGTTTCTAGCCTGTGTATTTGTATATTTAAGTATGTTATTTCTACTTCAATTTACGCCAATTTTCGGACAGTTAATAATAACTTTCCTGTACACATTCTGTAGCATAGATCTTTAAATTTGCCTGGTAATCAATTTAAAGATTTTTTAGTAAAGCATCTCTAAATTGGTGAAAACTACTTTTTTTTCTGAACTGTTTCTCGTTAGAAGCTAATAATTTATTTGATCCTTTTTAAATATATGATCCTATCCAAAATTTGATTAAAATTTTTTAGGTATTTTCTCCTGTCTTGTCTGTCTGACTGATAGTACATCTTTGATATGTCATAACAATTTATTAATTCAACGCCAATTTTCGGACAGTTAATAATAACTTTCCTGTACACATTCTGTAGCATAGATCTTTAAATTGGCCTGGTAATCAATTTAAAGATTTTTTAGTAAAGCATCTCTAAATTGGTGAAAACTACTTTTTTTTCTGAACTGTTTCTCGTTAGAAGCTAATAATTTATTTGATCCTTTTTAAATATATGATCCTATCCAAAATTTGATTAAAATTTTTTAGGTATTTTCTCCTGTCTTGTCTGTCTGACTGATAGTACATCTTTGATATGTCATAACAATTTATTAATTCAACGCCAATTTTCGGACAGTTAATAATAACTTTCCTGTACACATTCTGTAGCATAGATCTTTAAATTGGCCTGGTAATCAATTTAAAGATTTTTTAGTAAAGCATCTCTAAATTGGAAAATGTCAATAGCAAAAAAAAATCATGCTCAAAATAGTAAAAAAATCACCCTGTTACTTAATCATTGAGTCCCCCACTCCACCTTCATGCCCCTGTCAGGCCTCCCCCCACCCATTTCAAGATTTCCTAGATACCCCACTGTATAACTTTTTTTTAATTGAATCTGTTTGCTGGCAAATCTGGCTTTGGGAGAAGACTAAACATACATGTGGATGCTTATGTGTTTTTAAATTTTTCATGTTCTGCTCTACTTTTGCAACAGATATCTGTTCCCTGCTATGGATCAGTGCAGACCACTAACCTCAAACCTAAAGGAGATGAAATACCAGTTACAAATGAAAACAGACAAGGTCAAATACAGTAACACCATTTTGACTGTTTTAACTAAAATGAGAAAAAAATACTTATTTGAGGCTTGCCTACCCAAAGCCAGCGTCAGTGACCAAAAAAATTAAAATTGAATATACATGAGTTTACACAGACCAGAAATTGAATATACATGAGTCTACACAGACCAGAAATTGAATATACATGAGTTTACACAGACCAGTACGGTCACAAAGCAAGATCTTAGACTTTGAGAATCTCAGCAAGAAGGTGGAAAAATCAAACTGATGCAAACTTATTTAAAAATTGCAAAATTGAATGTATTCATATTGTGCACATTATTAAGTTTTAAAATGATGGGGTCATTTAGTGGAATCGATTAACTATTGCCAGAATTAGAGTAAAAGTATTACAGCCTCTCTTTACTACAGCAATTTATACAATACTTCCACATTCTTATGCAAAAATCAGTTTAACAATTACCGACAGTACGCTGGTTTTGGAATGGCAAGCCACATCTGAACTTCCGCTCACTTTTTATAATCCACTTAAATTGTGACCTAGTGATTCAAACATTCCTACCTTTCCAACCTAAGGGTTCTGTCTTCAAATCTTGTAATCACCTGGAACTAAAACACACCCCCCAAGCCTCATAATAAGACTTTTGTAATACATCTCCATTTATATTGGCATTATTTGGTGTATGTTATTACTGGAATATTTTGTTGTTTTAAGCTTTATTAAATCTCATGCAATAGAACGTCTTTTAGTTTCAAGTGTACGTGACTATGTCAATGATGAAGGCACCAAACTGTTCAAATGGTGCAACATATGTTCAGACATATAAGAAAATCTGCGTGTACGACGACCACCGAGTTTGAGAAGATTTTTGGCTGATTTTTGTATGGCGTATAAGACGGCTCCCCCATTTCACCGTCGGAATTCCTACGTTTTGCTGCTCTTTATTGTCATGATATTACATCTAGCTGGCTAAAAACGGAGCCAAGTGTAGTGCTAATCTTCCTAATAATATGGGCTTTTAAATGCTTACCAAAATTTGCATGTTACAGATGATTTGCACATAAGACGAACATGATATAAAAATGAAAATTTTTATGTGTTGCGCGTATAAGATAACCCCCCTGTTTTTCGATCGTAATTTGCTATTTGAGTCTTATATGTGAGAATATACTGCATATTATCATCTTATTATCAGCCATGTAGTGCCATATTTGATATTTGCAAATAAAAGCAACATTTATTGTAGGAAGCCTCAGAGACCAGTGGTTACCAAGACATGGGAACACTATATTTTCACTCCTAATTTGCATATTTAAACTACTTTGCATATAAATTTAATCAATGTAAATCTTTGTTGTTTCAGAATATGTACACCTGTATATACAGCACATGCTGAATGATGCAATCTACCGGCAGTTTGCGGCATTTTACCATGGTTTTCACAGTGTCTGCGCATCCAACGCCCTCATAATGCTACGATCTGAGGAAGTGGAAATGTTAGTTTGTGGCAATCCGACCCTTGACCTTGATGCCCTGGAAAGAGTCACCACGTATGATGGCTATGCAAAGACTGATGCCACCGTTAGGTACTCTATAACTTTGATTAACATTTTAAAAAACAAAATACAGAATGAGTCATCATGAAATTGTTGCATACATTTTTATTGTACATACATACATATACAGGCTCTATAACCAGAGGCTTGTTGGGGGTTGGGCCAAGCCCCCTCTTTAACTCATTTACTACTGTGGTAGTATTTTATCATAAGTTTGTTTAATAAAGAAACACTTTTGAGTTACTTGTTTACGGGACTGATACATCATGATACAATATAGAGATCAATTCTTAACCATTCAAAAGTAATGTTATGATTTAAGGTAAATTGTGAGAGACTACATACTATATATACTGTCTCTTATACACATCTAGATGTGTATAAGAGACAGGATACCCCACTGTATAACTTTTTTTTAATTGAATCTTATAGTCTCAAAATTTACCTTAAATCATAACATTACATTTGAACGGTTAAGAATTTATCTCTATATATCCATATTCATTAGTGTTACTGCATTCTCTCTGTCTATCACTAAAAGGCATAAACATACTCTTCATTTTATCCACGACACAAAATTAATGGCATCAGTATGATAAATGAATGTGGTATCGTCGTAATGATTGATACCCAATAGTACTTTGTCCCCATAGTACTTTGTCTACTTACTCTTCAAAAAAAGACCTTGTAGCAATTACTACTATACTTATTTTTCTCATTTTAAAAGGCTTTCTAATGTAGAGTTAATAAGTATGTTCACATAAGTGAATGCACTATTTTCAATTTCTGTTCTTAAGCACTCCAAAGTCTTCCAAATTTTCTAACTACTCCTTGCACAGTTATTTTTATTTTAGCATTGATACATGCTCAACAAATTGTTGCAATTTGTTATTATACTTATTATTCATCATTCATTCATTTCATGCCTGTTGAAAATTTCAACATCCTGAGTACTGTATCGTGGGATTGGTTGTGGTATACAAGCAACTTTTTCATCCTCTATTTTTTTTAACTCTTATCAGGTGCAAAGAGCGAAACGAGTGGCCGAACAGTGCTGATTTGAGCCGCTCGTTGGCTATGCTAAATTTCTGACCTAGAGAGCTAGGTCAGAAATAGAACATTATATCATAATTTTTCCTAGATTTCAAGATTTCTTAGAAAAATATTAAGTTTTACATTGCTCTCTTGCAGATATTTTTGGGAAATTGTGAAAAGTTTTCCTACAAGTCTTCAGAAGAAGTTGGTCCTGTTTACCACCGGAAGTGACAGGATACCGATTGGTGGAATGGGGGAGATGTCGTTCAAGATAATCAAAGTCGCCACGTCAAGTAATATGTAAGTGCAATCTATATTTTAACCTTTGCCTTTATATTTCACTTCACAAAATATTGTCTATGGTGAATTGTTGAAAACCTTTGAATATATCATAGAATTGATGAAATTAAAACACAGACTTGATCATTTGAAAATATAAAATAAGTTGTTACCTTCCAAATAGGCACTCATTGAAAGTGCATTAGTTAATTTTTTTTCCTAATTTACAGACTTTACTTCACAAATTTTTAAATTGATTACCACCTGATTTAAGCGTCTCTGCAAAGAGTACCATCTGCCAATTAAAATCTAATAATTTAATTAATCTATTATTTTGAATATTTAACATTTTTATAAAATTTGCACTATAAACATTTTTAAATTATTATTTTTTATTATTATTAGTATACCAACTAAGCAATTTAAATATTATATTGTACTCCCCAATTTTATTAATTTAGTAACCGTTGGGAATTTAAAGGGGTAATTTCGGTCTAGGTGTGTGCTCCTGACTGGAGAAGGGATGGGAGGGGTAATTAAGACATTGATTTTGTACTTGTTGTTTATCTTTTCATTTTAGATTTTTTTTTCTGGAACACACCATATATGTGTGCCACTGTTGTAAAAAGTGTTGTTTCCAAATAAAGAATATAATATATATCTTCCTGATGAAAATAACAAATATGCAATTTCATATCATCTATTCATAGTACTTCCTTTGTTTTCCTCTTTCATTGCAGGCTACCGATGGCGCACACTTGCTTCAATCAACTCATTTTGCCGCCTTATAAGAGTAGACGACAATTGAAACAGAAACTTACAATCGCTATCTCTAATGCAGAAGGCTTTGGTTTGGAGTAGGTGTTTAGATTAATAAAAATTAATAGAAGCATCTATATTTTGAAAACAGGAAACATGATCACCTGTACTTTAAAGATAAAAAAAAAATTAATAGACTGCACTGAAATTACATAAATTACAAAAAATATGGAAAACATTAAAAATGTATGTTTTACAGTTTGCCATCCAATTGGAGACCACTTTGGCACATGAAAATGTGGAGTGGTCTTTGGGGCTTGGTCTCCTAATAAAAGGTTTGTTTTGATTTTTGTTGAAATTAAAGAATGTTAGCTGGTTCGTGTACTTTGAAAAAGTGGTCTTGAATTAAAAGGATCTCGGCATTGAAGGGTAAACTGTAGTAGGTATGGAGGCCTACACTTTGTCCTGAGGCATTGACACTTGAGCCAGGACTTGGACAATGGCTTACACACAAGGCTTCGAGCTAATCAGTCATCAATTTTCCCTTCGACAATAGCACTGTGGAATAGTCTCCCTAACCATATAATAATTTCTAATTTCCGTTAATCAGTTTAAAAAATGAGTTTTATCTCATGTATCATAGCTTGTATTTGTATGTCTCTATTTTTATAATTGAAGTTTATTGTTTGTTTGTGTTGGAAGGCCTTTGCTATTAGCTTAATGCTAGTTGGTCTTTCCTAGGCCATTGTAGCTCAAATTGTCATAAATAAATAAAATAAATAAATAAAAATAACGTAATATGTTGGAATAGTGAATTAAACCAAAGAGTATAGAATTGCAAGACTGTCCTGATTTTACATGCAGGCAATGAAATGCAAAAACAAAATACTACCACAAGATATGGGGCGCCCTATTCAAATAGCATTCAAAATTCGAACAGGCATCCTTCACAAGCAGCACACGTTCGATATGAATGACTTTTACTTTCTTTTTAAAAACCGCCTCTAATTAGTGGTCGTACCTTTTGAGATAGGATTGCATTTCAACGAAAATCTATTCTGTACTCTTTGATTGAACCTGAAATAGGGGCTTAGGCCTGTTGTTAATAGGGAGAGTACTAGCAGAAAGCTTTTACACCTTGAATTAGAGCTGTCTCTTGTTGGTAGAGATGCTCACTTTCCAGTCCTAGGGTCCTTTGTTCAAATCTTGTAAAACCAAAATTTTTTCTTATGACTAAATCAATTCTACTCCCTAATGCGGCCGGTGCGATTCTGTGTAGAATGTAGTGCCACGACGAGCACAACGGATTGTTTTTAATGACGATCCGTTTATACCGCAACCGACAATCAACAGACGGCTTCATGTCGTCGAGTTGGATTCATTGTACGACTTTCGTACAACAAAGTGAGAGCCCGGCTGAAGACTCAAAAGACTTGGTTTATAGAAGCGGTCCGGCGCATCGGTTGTGGCTTGGACTCCCAACCTCAAGGTCAGGGGTTTGAAACTCTTGCTGTGCAAGTCGCTTGCAAGGCACTTTATTTACGTTTGTCTCTCTCTCTCTACCCAGGAGTATAAACGGGTACCTGGTAAGATGTTGAAGCATTGAATGTACTAGTTTAGGTATTATACTCCCCCAGGGACCAAAGAAACTTGCACTTTGTGTGCTGGTTTGCCATTGTATGTTATCCAATGACCTGGGGTAATAACGCTCAACGCCTTTAATCATATAATTTGGAATTGGCGCTATATAAATATTCAAGCATTGTTATTATTAAGCATTATTATAGAGAATCAGATTCTGTAATTGGCGAGTTGCTTGCTGTTATGTGAGAAGGAACAAAAATTCGAGGATTGTACCCTTTACTAAGGGGAGTATACCTGAGCTAGGTGTAGGGGAGGCTGCAGTGGTTAGATATTTGTTGTGGAAATTTAAGAAATTAAACAAGCCTTACCTCTAAGGTGAAGGTTGATGGCAATTCTACCAGATCAGCAGCAGTATTTCGGGTTATCATGATTAGTACGCCCTCTCCGGTAAGCATGAAGTTTGTTCGCTGCTGAAAGGGTAGAATTCAATATTTTCTAAGCCCAAAGACAGCTGACATGAGAGTGCGATTTTCAGGCATTGAAGTGGCACAACGTAATTTTTGTTTGCCTTTGCTCCAAACTTGGTGGGCTTAGGTGGATGTGGCCTATGTGTCTGGTAAATGCTGACATCACTGCTGGCTATGTTTTCATCAAAACAAAGATGATATATATAGATATATAGATTGAACAAATTATTTTTCTAAATTCTTAACAGAAAAGCGAATCTACAAAGAGAGAGGTTTTACTCAAGTGCAATATTGTAAATATTTTATATCTGTTTTCTTGTTTACCTTGAAATTTTAAAACAAAAAAAAATACCTTTTTGCAGATTGTTGCAAATATTTGAATGTTAAAATTTCTTCTATTTTCCTTTAAGTTTCTAAACTTTTAAATATTTAATGTTCCATAACACTTATTTTTGAAATGTACACCGTGTTTGTTTCTCACAAATTAAATGTTTCAAAAAGTTTAGCTAAAACAAAAACCAAAGTATTCCAAATCAAAATTTAACTGGAAATTTAAATGGTGAAAAATAGTGATAAATATATTTCATTTTCGATAAATTTATATAGTAAATTGAATCATGTAAAATTATCATCGGTAGTTTCTGAATGTGCTATTAGCTTTCATTAGTGTATGTATCTATTTATGTCAGTTTTATAATGTATCTATGCAACCATATCATCCTGATCTATCATATATCTCACACAAGCATTTAGGCCTCATTTTTGATAACAAATTAACATGGCCTGCACATATTAGACACCTACGAAGTAAACTTGGTTATTCACTCTCATTATTAGGGCGCATTCACAAATTTATTGACACCAAAACCAAAATTTTGTTATATAATACTATTGTACTTCCGCATATCGCGTCGACTACTGTTGTTCACTTTGGGGCTCTAAGGAAATAGCATATCTTCTCACATCCAACCTTTACAGAACCGTGCTTTGCGCATAATTCTTAACCTGTCTCTTATACACATCTAGATGTGTATAAGAGACAGATATATATATGCATGCATGTGTGTGTGTGTGTATGTATGCATGCATATTTTTTGTCATGGATGAAGATGTTTCACTAGTGCAAATGTATATTTTATTTTATACTAGTACTTCTGGAAGATATATACATTATATAATATTCATTATATAATGACATTTATATTAGCTAGTTGTAACTTGTCAAAAGGGAATAATGAAATCATAGTGAACAAAATAATATAAAATTATAGAATATTAAACTAAATATTTCTTGTGTTAGCCAAGATGAACTACTGCTTGTGATGTATTCAATAGGTTAAATAAAAAATATATAAATTTACATCATCGATATTATTTATTACTTCTGTATTGTTCATATTATTCCTAGGTAAGTTCTGTCATCTTTCCACATTGCTGTGCATTGCCTCTTTCAAGTCCTTGGTTGCCACTTCCAGTGCATCTTCAATCATTCATCTGTGGCACGTGTTCCAGGCCCTAATTTTATCTGGTGGATATGTTTGGCATGTATCTTACCATTGCCCATTCCACTGTTCTTAGTTTTTATGTTGCTTGTTGTCCATAATTTTGCACCTTACACCATTGTTGACAACTTACAGGTCATATACTATGGTCATACTTTAATATGTTTTTGTCATAAAAATACCCACCAGCTTTTGTCCGCATCCTTTCAGAAGTATAATTACGCAACCTTACGAAAATGATAACGAATATGAATCAGGGGCGGCGTCAGGAATTCCCCGACGAGGGGTCCAAGCTCCCCGACAAGGGGTCTAGGTTCCCCGTATCCCGGAAGCCTAGTCCCCCCCCCCCACCCCCTCGCCAGTCGGGGAAAAAATTAATTTGTCGGGGAATAATTAAATTTGTTGGGGAATTTTTTTAAAATTAAAAGATAATAAAATGTTGTGTTGATTATGGAATTCTGTATTTAAAAAGGATATCGGGGGTACTAGTCCACCTGTCGGGGTACTAACCCCCTGTCGGGGAAGAGCTGACGCGCCACTACACCCATACGATAGTAATCGCACATACGGTAGCACTGCTTGCACTAAATTAAACAGTTTTTAATCCCCAAAATTTTGACATCTTATTAAGACATGCTTGAATTGTATATTCGCTGCTCGAGATTTGATTTTTCCCCGACGGCCTTGCTGGGGGTTCAAGTGGTGATCCAGAGTTCCCCGACGGGGGGTCCTTTCTTCCCCCTGGACCCCCGCTAGCACCGCCCCTAATATGAATACGTCATTATTATCGTTATTCGTGCCTAAACTACCCTTGACAAGCTGTACTAGCTGAATATGATCTGTACTGTAGGGAAAGGGTTGTCTACATAACTGTATTCTTTATCGTTTTCGTAAGCTTGCGAAACTCCCTATTGCTGGAATGTTTACGAAAAAGGACACTACACCAATAAAATGTCATTGCGGGACTCAAACCTGCGACCTCTCGCTGTCAAGGCGAGCGTCGTAACCATTAGACCACTGAGGCTTCATGGTTGAACAGATTCAAATACCACCACCATTGTTTAATGGAGTGTATCTGGTCGCAGGTTTGAGTCCCGCCAGAGGCATTTTATTACACAATTTCTTTATTCATTTATTTACAGGACTACATTCGTTGAGAGCTATACATATATACACATTTTTAAACATTAAAGAAGAGGTGTTTGCGAGTGTGAAAATAAAATAGGTGCCCAACCGGGATTCGAACCCGGGACCTTCTGCTGTCTATAATATCTATATCGTACATTTATTAAATTGGGATTTATTATTAGCCAAATGTTCACAGGTGACAAAGAGATCCACATAGCTGACTTGGTCGCCGGGGTGGGGTGTGTTCATGAGGGATAGGCCTAATTTTAAGAGTATGGCCGTACAGGCCATCCTATTCTTACCGGTATTACTTAAGAAAACATTAGGCCATATTCACAACAGAAATAATAGTCCAACATGCCCCGGTACATAATGCTAAGTGTGGGAATACCTGGACACAGAAGGTAGTCTAGTAGCATAATTCAAAATAATGACCAAATCACAATTTTGTAGGCCTACTTTAATTCATTCATTCGGTGCCAAAAATTGATTAAGTTTCTTATTTTCTCGTGAATAAATAATGTGCAAGGAGCTCGAATACATAATACAATGAATAATATTGACTGTCTATATTTACACAACATGCGGGGTAAGCAATATGTTATGCATCATATTTGGAAACAGGCCTACAAATTAATGAATAACATAGTGATGGTACAATTTCGATTTCACTTATTTTCCAAATTCAGTCTAAAGCATACTCTAGTTAAGTTGTACTTTGTACTATCACTTGAATTATTAATTTTTTTTTCAGTAAGTGCTATATTTGCTTTTGCTAGGATTATATACCGATTACACTTTAATTTTGGTCATTTTTTATGGCGAACAGTCCATATAGGTAAACCTCCATGGACAAATCTATCAGGACCCTCCAGCTTCGTTTGTGAAAGGGTGGTTTATGAATGTGGTTAATTTTACAGGTGCTCAGAAGTCATACTGTGGAAACTTTACCTGGGTGCAAAAAAAAAAAATTAAATGATGATGATTATGATGAGAGCATGATAATTGTGACGGTTATCATGGCGATATCGGTGATAATGGTGGTGATGATGAGGATGATGATGATGTCGAGGACGATAACGACGACAATGATTATGATGTAGACTAGTGGTGGCATGATTTAAATTTTGGAGACACCATGCAGGCTGAAGTTAAGTGTACAGAAATTTGGTTTAATAATCATTTTGTTTCAATTTTGACTTATGACTTTATTCGCCTGTTTGATTGAAATTCTGTTTATGTTAAACATTTTATATAAAGATTGTGTTTTGTATGCCTAGTTTTAAGCTTCTTATATTCTTATAAAACTGTAAAATTGGATGCACCACCTTTGTGCGTGCCACCGATTATAAGGTAATATTCCTAATAAATTGATTGATTGATTGATTGATTGATTGATTGATTGTGTTAAAGCTGGAATAAAGGAAAAAGGGCACCCGGTCAAGGAGCAGGAACAAAAGCAATCAATAGTTTGTATTTGCAGTGGAGTAACAATGGGACTGAGGGCCCTGTGGCTTTCTGAGGCTGGGGCCATTTTGGGCAGTTACCAATTCTGTGATATGCTCGTTTCTTAAAGCCCCATTCCCGGCAAAATTTCAGTTTTTAAGAAAAATCTAATTTTTGTATAATGTTATAAAGATTTATAAATATAATACGGAATTGCTAGTTTAACTGAATTTAGACATTCCTAAGAAAAAAATGTAAAATAAGACTGAAATTTGATTTTTTGTGTTCCACACAAAAAATAAATGCGGATGAATTTTTCATTTTGATTTTGCGATAGGTCGTGAGAAGAAATATCGTAGGCGCCGAAAACATTAGCCTACCCAGCGCTGCTAGCTAGGCTAGGCCTAGCCTTACCTCGATTTAGGTTCTGTTATCACACATAAAAACGGCCGACACGATATTTTCCGTTGCTAGTATTGACACTTGTGAAATATAATATTTCATAGGAATTATTTCAAATTTGTTTCTGACTGAGATTTTGACACTTAAACTAACATATCTCAGCCTTAATCGAACGAGCGCATTGTGCGAGATACGAAGTACAAAACTAATCTCATTAGAGAGGGCGCACTTTATTGACTGTATAAAAGTATACATAAAAGCGAGAGTATTCCAGTGGATGCGATCTACAACCTCTGAATTTGCCTAGTAACGATGAATTCGTCCAGAAAATGGTAATATTTTATGAGAAATAGTCTGTATTTCTCTTTTTTTTTATTCTTTTGGGTAAACTAAAATTCATGCCAATATTTTTCCATGATTTGTAATAATTGGAGTATTGCAAATGAATATTTTCTAAAAAAAGTCAGTTTTTTGTGAAATTTTGCCGGGAATGGGGCTTTAATTATGTTTGTCCAAGGTAATTCAACAAAAGGACGCACATCTCGGGACATCAAAGGTTATAACTCTGGCATCGACATTCTAGGCGCACGTGCGTCCCTACAC